AGGTCTTGCCATCTTTGCTTCTAAGAAGCATTCTGGCTGGACCTCTTTCAGGGCAGCTTTGTTCACTCTGGCAGTCCACGGTCCCTCAGCGTTCTTCACCAACACCGTAATTCAGAGATGCCCTTTCTTCTCCAGTCTTTCCTACTCACTGTTCAGATTTCATATGCATATGTGCTGAAACTGTACCAGGCATTTTAATTCTTACAGCATTTCATGGACGAGGGAGCTGAGGTTCCCTAGAGTTCAAGCAGCTTGCTTGAGGCACATGGTCAGTCTGGCTTGGAGCTGGTTAGAGCCCAGGACTGAGTTCTCCAGTGCCAGATATGTCTGCTTCTTGGAGAGGGTCTGCCCTCAATGAAAAGCAGAGGAGTGGCGCGACAGTCTTTTCTGGGCTGCCATCTGTGTAAGCGGCAGGCGTTTGGAGTTGCAATCTGTTCTCAGAAGTGGTGGGGATAGGCTTACCCACTTCTTTGCAAGGAATCCCTGCATAAAATCACTGTGGACACAATGTTGTTGAAACACAGGATGGGCAGGCTTGTGGGCTGAAGGCATTGGGTGTATCTGCTGCAGCCAAGACCTTACTAACAGGTTGTTCTGCCTGGAAGGGGAGTCATGTGTCCCAGGGAGTACTCACAACGGGCTCCAGCATCATGAGGCCTTGGTGGTCACACCATCCCACCTCACCTGGAAACTGATGATGAAACTGATACTCATCAGGATTTGCGGGTTTATACTAGGGGTTTCTCTACATCCATGATCTCACCGAAGGACCCATTCGACAGCCGAGCAAACAGAAATACAGAGAGGTAAAATTACTGCCTTAATATCACCCAGTGGAAACTGAGCCCAGGGCTGGCAGATACCAAGATCTGTCCTCTTGACCTCTGGGCGATATTGCTGGTTTTGAGCTGGCTGTTTCATGGGACCTTTAGTGGCTAAGCATTCGGCAGCTAACTGAAAAGTGAGTGGTTTAAACTTGGTCGCTCTGTGAGAGAAAGATGTGGCAGTCTGCTTCCATAAACACTGACAGACTTAAAACCCTATGGGGAAGTTCTGCCCTACAGGGTCACCGTGTCACCTGTTCCCAAGCATGCCGTCCTATACTTGTTGTTAAGTGCCGTCGAGTTGGTTGTGACTCATAGCAATCCTATATAGGGTTTCCGAGCGCGGCTGGTGGGCTTGAATCGCCCACCCTATGATTCAAACTGAACTTGTAGTCAAGTGCTTACCCTACTGTGCTACACCAGGACTCCATAGGAAGCTTCAAAAACTTCATGGAATACTCCTCTTATCTTTTTTTTTTTCAAACCAAAGATCTCACATATTTATTAGCCAACTTCTTTAAATGAGTAAGCATAAGATTAAAGGAAGAAACCAGAAGTTTTGCAAAACATGTTCAATTGATCAAATCTTGGCAAAATTGAACGTGATGTGGTGGAGTGCTAGGACCTGGGTGTATTATGTGCTACGTCATCACATGTGCGACTCCTTAGAGACCCAGCTTGGCTCTTTTCCCGTGTCTTTTCTTGGAGTTGTACCTGATTTTATTACCAGTTTTCACTGAAATCCACAGAGGAATGGGACAAATCTGCTTTTGTTTCTTGGCTAGGAATCTCTTGATCCTGAAAATCTTATGAGAAGACAGAGTGAAGATGGAATGCAGCAGCACTCACACGATGGCAAAGAAAGGAAGAGCTCCCATGATCTTTTTTTTTAAAAAGTATTTTGTAAATTATGTGATAGTTTACATGGGAGAATATAAGCTTTTTACATTCATCCTATTGTGTATCGTTTCATTGCCATGGTTATAATCCCCTCCATGCATCATCAAATAACCAAAGGGTATACACTACAAGCCTGCCTCCCCGCCCCAGGTCATCAGTACACAGCCTCTCTCCCTCTCTGGGTCTAAAGTCTAGCTGCTCCATCTCTCTACGTCAACATCTCTGCCTCCATCTCTGGTGTCACTATTTCTCTGGGTAGGGTTCCATATGCTGTTCTTCTCCCTTTATGGTCCCAAGGACCTCCGCTCCTGGACTGCAAAGTCAACCACTCCCCTCCTTTTGCTATAAAACATCTACCTTCACATTTCCAACCCTCACAGTCAGTCCTGATAACAATTATTCACTATTGTATCACAAGAGACCTATCAGCATCTCCTTTCATCAGCCCCATCCAGACAGACTGGATACTACTCAGTGGAGATTCTACATTTCTACATTCCTCCATGCCATCTGGATCTAACCTCCCTCCTTTTTTTTAAATGTTTTATTGTGAATTATGTGATAGTTTACATGGGAGAACATTAGTTTTACATTCATCCGATCGTATATTGTTTCATTGCCATGGTTGCAATCCCCTCCATGCATCATCAACCAACCAAAGGTTATACACTACAAGCTTGCACCCTGTCGTCAGCACACAGCCCTTCTCCCTCTCTGTGTCTAAAGTCCCCAGCTGCTCCATTTCCCCACGTCATCATCTCTGCCTCCATCTCAGGCATCACTGCTTCTCTGGGTAGGATCCCGCTCTCCGCTTTTCGCCCTTGATGGT